GTTCGCTGGAGATAGGCACCAGTAACCCTCAGGACACCACTAAGGACAAGAGTGTACAAAAAATGAATGGATGGATGTATAAAAAGAGCATAGTGTCTTGTATTTGATCAGCTGTCCATTGAACAACATGTCAGTCAACCGTTTTAGAAAAAAAATAAAATAAATTTCAGAAGCCAAAAAGCTTGTCTAAATCTGCAATGCATTTAAAGCTTATATATATTTTTTATTTTTATTATGCTTATCTTGATTTTATTATTTTTTTCAGTTAGAGCAACACTGACTTTTAGTAAATTGTCCCAACAGTGACAGTAATTGTAATAATTTGTTATATGACAGTTTCTTTGGAAGTTGGGTTTATTTGTACTGCTAGAAACACTTAGTGTTGTCATTCATTTATGAAACTAATATGATTTAATAGCTTCAGACTAATCAGATTGATTATTATTAAGCTTTATCTTAGCTTTAGTTCATGAGGTTGTGTGAAAACTATTGGGCTAAAAATTATGACTTCACAGTGGGTTTTTATGAAAGTGGTGATGCATAGCATAGTGGAAAAACTGAGACTTGGGTGGGTTCAGTGCCAGGGTGTTAAAATAATTAAACCAGACCACCCAAACCACTTGAGTAAATGAGCTGTTTACTGCTCTGTTTGCATTGCACCGTGGTCTAATTTCTCTAGGATTCTTTGGTTTTACACAGCCATCGCACCCTGCTTACTCATTTATTTCAGAAAGGAAATATTTTCACTTTTCACGATTTTCATCTTGACAAGGTGAAAGTAAGTAGACATTGCTGATGACTTTTACAATTAAATAATTACAGGTGATTTCCTCTACCACCAAACTATTTTTACCCAAATGTTCATGAAAGATTTAATTACCTGTTAACCTGTGGTCGCTGCTCTTCCTCCTGTCCTACAGAGGGAACCATAAAGTGTTTGAGGCGTGGTTCCTGCTGGTTCAGTGTGCCTACTGGGTGCATGTGGCGGTCCAGCTGCTTGTCACATCAGGTCCCGAAGACTGTGGTCCCCTCCTCTGGTTACTGACCTTTTATCATCATCCCACCAACAGGTGGCACCACAGAGCTTCACAGCTGGTGAGAGTTTTTCTCATAAATGGCTGTTTGCAGTACCTTGCAAAAATTTTTCTTCACAACCACAGATTTCAATGTATTTTATGTGATAGACAAATACAAAATAACTCTTAATTATGAAGTAGAAAATATGATACATGTTTTTCACACCTGTGTTCAACTAAGAATCTGAAAAGTGTATATGTTTTCCAAACCTTTGTGCTGTTATAGCCTGAGAATTTGGCACAACGGCAAACTCGGCGAGACGTTGGCTGTCTACCTAAATGTGAAGGTCCATGGTAACTTTGGATGAGCTGTGGCCTTTTGATGGTTTGAAAGACCAGATTATAGACCAGGGGTGGGCAATCCTGATCCTGGAGTGCTTAGATGTCTCCCTGGTCGAACACGGTTGAATCCAACAGCTGAATCACCTCCTCAGTGCAGTCATGTTCTCCAGAGTCCTGCTAACGACCTCATTATTTGACTCCGGTGTGTTGAAGTAGAGATGCATCCAAAAGTTGCAGGAGACCGGCCCTCGAGGCCTGGAGTTGCCCACCCCTGATATAGACGGCTCATAATAAATAAATTTAGGTCATTCTTAAAATTACATCCACATACACACCTACACCCTCACCACTTCAATATATTAAGGGTCAAAAAAAATGTATCGCCTGTTTCAGAATGATGCTCACGTCTAAAATAGTCTCAAATTAGATTCTGAAATCTTTGATAAATTATTTTTCATTCATGAGTCAAATTTACCAGTAGTGCTCTCTAAGTTTAACAGATGTTGTTGTTTGTTTTATATATAGAGAATATAAACAAAAGTTTTTGCTAAATCATAGAATATATTATAAATATAACGTCTTTGTCACTCTTGAACTGAACTAAAAGGACGTTACTTAACTTTCAACATCTTTCAACAACCAAATTTATGTGCAGATCTATGAACCACTCTTTAGGGTTAAAAAAGTGGTTTTTTACTCGGTCTTTGATTTAATTTGTATAATACTAATTATTTCTCACCTAACTTATTGGTTTTATTTTTGTTTTTGGGGATTTTTGTATCTGGACAACCATAGTGAAAGGAACCTCTTCTCTTTCGGGTGGTTTTATACTCTGTGATGGAATGCTAATGTTGCTTTCATTTTTTTTTTTTTTTTACCGTCACCAAGCAAGTTAAATCAGCCCGTCAAATGGAGACCATCGTTGACATTTTGGGCTACCTGCCAACTCGTGGCAGTCCTTAAATGTGACTGCTCACACTCACTTAATATAATCTGACTAAGCTTGAGCTATTTTTTTTCACTTTGCATTCATTTTCTTCTTTTGTTGGTCAATTGCCTTAAATCCCAAAATCCGTTGAAGGTTGAGTCGCAAAGTGAAAATGTTAAGGCATATGAATACTTCTGCGAGGTGATGTATTCCTGTACGATATTGTCCTTTTTGCGCATCCTTTTGCTTCCAACTGTCACTGACTAGATGGAAGTGCTTTGAAATGTGATGCAGACGTCTGTTTTCGCCTGTCTGAGGAGTTATGAGGTGCTGTGAACTTCAGTTGCGTTGTGTTGCTCTGCCAGAGCTAAATTGTGAAGAACAGAGTTATAAGGTGCTGACATTTGTTTTGTGAGCTGAGTGGACACAGTGTGGATAAAATCTCATCAAGTCTGCGCAGCATCATAACTCAACCGGGCAACGGTGTGGAAGGCCTGTTATTTTCCTGCAGACAGGTGTGGTGTTGCTGAAAGCCAAAGAGCCAACACAGAGAAGGGAGACACATTAAAGAATAAATAATGGATGACAACACCACCCTCCCCATCCCCTCTCCCATGTGAGAGGTAGTGGAGAGCTGAAGAGGAGGCGGTGCAGATGAGCGAGGGGAGCTGGGTGAAAAGGGGAATGCAGTATTGATTTCTCAGTGAGCGTCTGGCCAGCTGGCCTGAGGTTTGTCTCCATGTCTCCAGTTTGTCCGCCTCCTCTCATAACCATCGGAGATTCACCGCCCCTTACGATGACACGCTCATCTCGTAATAGGCTTACCTTCTCTATCTCTTCTAATTAATAAGTGTGTTGATCTTTGTTTGCAGGAAGGTCACAGTTAGTCACATGACCTTTCTGTCCCCAGGTCCAAGCCAAAGCAGCGTGGGACCACCTGTACAGTCTTTTCTCCACTGTAGCTCATCCTCTGCCTGCTGACCACCTGCAGTCTTTTATCAGTCTGCTGGCACCGAAACCCCAGCAGCCGTCACTTGCCCCATCGTTGACCCTTAACCTTTTGGTTAACTTTGCTACTTTTGGTCAACTTCCACAGAGTACATCAGCAGAGATTACACAGAAGGTGAGGAAACAATCTTCCCTTAAACCTCTTCATACCACATCACATTTGTCCTGTTACCACAAAATCTAGTGTATTTTGTTGGGATTTCATATGACAGACCAACACAAAGAAGACCCTAACTATGCAAGAAATCAAAAGTACATGGTTTTCAGGCCTGATTTCAACTAAATAAGTCTATGTTGAGAAAGACTAGTTTTATATTCAACCTGTTCTACTGTAGCCTGGTAAAGACCAGCCCCTCGTACTAGATCCAGCTGGTCTGGGCTCTCGGCTGTTGAGAAACAAATGCTTCTTAGAGGCATGGACTGTGTTGAGGTTTTAAATTTTACCCAATTACTAATATTCTCCACTGCAAAGAGAGAAGTGCTGCTCCGAACAAGGCAGCTGTTAATGTTAATTCAATATTTGGAAGGGTTTCCAACACTTGGTCCGCTGCTGTTGGTAAAACTACAGGCAGACAACAATTCTAAAACAGTGCAGAAAATCGACATCATCGTTTACAACTTCTTCTGTTCGCTGATTGGCCCATTTAAAATTGACCGGAGACAACCCGAGTCAAGGGTAGAAAGCCTTGACTCGGGTTGGTCAGGGATACAGTTGCGAAAAGTTCAAGACAGGCAGGCTCACAGAGCTTTGTTCAATCCATCATTCAAAAATGGAAAGACCATCGCTTTCTCTCTAGCCAAATTTACAGAGTAAAGAGAACATTATTTAGAGAAACTGCCTAGACAGCCATTGTGACTTTGAGGAGCTTGAGCTCAAGTGGGAGATTCTGCTAAACAAATATTAGTCATAGACTCCAGAAAACAGGTTGTTTTGGAAGAGCAAAGAAGAAGCCATGTACAGGACACAGAAAGCATGTAAACAAAGTGCTGTGGTCAGATGAGACCAAAGCTGAATGTTTTGAAAAAAAAAAATTACAATATCACTCTAACACCATGTCCAGCGTGACCTTCTGGAGGCTGCAAGAGACCTGCAGCGAGATTGGAGGTTTACCCTCCAGCTGGAAAACGTCCCCAGACTTAAACTTAGACCTACGGTGGCAGATGAAAGCAAACAGAATCATCTTGTTCTAAGGTGCAGATCAAGACAAAAGAGAGGGGGAAACCATGCCACACATTTCAGTTTTCTCATATATAAAAATTGACTTAAGAATTATTCACTTCTGGTTGGTTCATCATTTTTAGAACTTCTATAAAACACATCAAGATTTGTGGTGACAAGATAGAAAAACATCTGAAGTTTATGAATACTTATGCAAGGCACTGTTATGTGTCTTTTTCCTTTGTATTGCACGCATCGCTGTGGGATGCGTGGAATATATTTCATAACCAACTAGTTGATTTTTGCAATAAAATGTTCAGTAACTTTAACAGATGAGCAGTAGGAGGCCTAAATTCCCCAAGCAGAAGAAAACTAAGCAATGCAGTCTATTAAAAGACCCTCTGTTAATATAATGAACAAGTTTGGTAGTAGGGAACAACACAGCTGAAGGTTTAGTAGTACTGATGAAAACATGTTATGAAAACACTTGATTTACACACTGTTTATACTCTCAGTAATGTGGTTTCTAGCAGTTTATTGATTACTATTACTCTTTGTCAAATCCTCTTTTTTCTTTAATAAACATTTGGTACAGAACCCAAGAAAACATTCACAATCACAAAAAAATATCTAAAACACAGATTTTTTTTTTCATTTTTCTTTATGTCCTTTACATAGTCGCTCCTGATTGTTCAGCTTTAACTTCATAAAAAAGAACCTATCCAGAATTTAAATATCTGTAGAAAAACTGAAACATATATTGTTTATTTCATGAGAAAAAGGGTTAATAGAAAGTAAGTGCATAAAAGGTTTAAAAATAATTATTTGGTTCTTATAAGTAGGTAAAAAAGCCCTTAAGGGAATAAGGGAGTACTTCTAAAGAAAGGACAGTTTAATTCAATACCTAATTTTTTGGATGTAAAGAACTAATACTCTTTTCCTTTCATCTTATATTGTACTTATTACAAGGGGATGATAAAGGCTGAACTTCTTTATTCAATCAGAAACTGGTCTAGGGTTCAGCTTCTTTCCTGCCCAAGCAGTTTGAAATGATGAAAGAAAAAGAACATCTGCTTAAAATAAAATCTAACCATCATCTTGGTTATTTAATAGTTGCAGTACACCCTAAATTCTGTTATATTTTGCTTCCAAGAAGCCAGACTTTATTCAGATTACCTAAATTGGTTTTCAACAATATTTCCTCAGGGTCTCCAAAAACTTTTGGAAACTGGCTCCTTTTTAAATTCATTTTCCGTCCAGTCTTTATACCTAACTATTTTAAGATTCTTTTTCATTAATTGTGAAACCACTTGAAAGTAAGCTATGAATCATTCAGGCACAAATACATGCTTGTAACTTAAGGAAAGGGTTACCAGAGGGAAAAGATGCTTTCTGAGTTACTCAGAGGTAATTGTGGGTTTTCAGAATTATTTCTGTCAAATGAAATCCCACCTTTTTTCCTACACCAGTTTGATGAGGCCAGATCATTTTCTTTTCAGCCTTTCATGGGCGACGACTTGTTGATTGTGTGTGTCACTCCAGGTGGTCCATCAGTCTGGTCTGCAGGATGAAGCAGCACGTGTTCTCAGCTCGCTGCGTCTCAGACTGAATGACCGAGGCAGCTTTGCAAACGACAGAGTTCATCTCAGGATCGAGGAACTTCACAACACAATAAAAAAACAAATGTAAGCCAGATGCACGCTCACAAACTGACACATAGCTGTGTTGTCCTGCGTTGGCGGGAGGTTGTTGAAAACGGCACAGTGAGGACAGATTACAGGACATGTGGAGGACAGAGTTATAAACACATACGTAAGACAGTTACATGTCCCACAAGCACTGCTGAGCAGCGATAGATGCCCGTGTTAGGAAGCATCTGCGTGTACGTGTCAGAGTCTGCCCGCTCACTAAATTCCTGCAATACAAGTCCCATCAAACTGCACAGGCTGAACGCAAGACAACAGTAAGAAATACCCAACAGTACCAGTGATTGTGCTTTGCCTGTGCAAACCTACTGTGCATGGAGAGTAGATTATTGTGAGTATGTTATAAATTGTAAATAGTTCTGTTCATTTGTGTATTGTGTATTTCTTTGTAATTGGGAAGAATCACATTTACTATAACAAACTCACAAATGTAAATGTACTTAATATTTCAGATTTCTATGAAGAATGTAGACATTTCCTTGATATTTAGTTTTAATTTGTAAATTTACAGTGGAATTGTATTTATTTTATTTACACCTGAAAAAAGAAAAGATAAAAATCTATCTACCTTCCTGTATGTGTTCAGACAAGAGATGCATTTATGTCAAAACACAGGATTTCAACTATTTTGTTTGATTAATTTGTGAATATGGTTTCTAGCTCATTCACCTCAGAAAATTTGTGTACAATCTTAGAGCATTTTCTGAACTGAGTTACTGACAAAAATAGATTTTCCTATGGTATTGTGATTTGTATCAATGTGCTTGTAGAAAGAGAAACACTGACTTGCTTTGTTCTCTTACAGGATAAACTTATATTTAAATTTCACTCATGCCAGATTTTGAATTTAGTTGCTTCTGTTTGCTTTCATTTTTTGTTGTTTAAACAGATGTAATCTTTCAAAGTAGCTTGTATTCCATCTGTCTGGACTAGATGGAAACTTTGCCACGGGGAGCAGGCGTTGGCTAGTTATGCACCATTTTAACTTCTTTATTTTCAAGTTGTCCCACAAATTTGGATGAAATGTTACAAGTAGATTCCTGCAACTTTAAAAACAAAAACAGCAATGCATTTCTTACATTAGACTTAGCTGAGTTTACTTTATTTTAACCTACTTGGCTAAAGTTCTTTAAATTTGGTTTATACTGGTTTTGTCATTTTCTCATTAATAGACCCCTGTGTGATATAAAAAAACAAACAAACTTTGGGATAAAGGAATTTGAGTTTAGGATAAACAGAAAACACAAGAAGCAACTCTTATTTTTGTGGAAATGTTTATTTACTAAAAAAATATTACTTTTCTAAAATTCATTAAACCAACACAGAAAAATGCCCTGAGCTGTCTGGGGTCAGTCTTATTGCAGTCAAGAGTAAAGTAGGAATAACGTTTGTGAAATTTACCTTCCCTTAAAGAATGTCCAGTCTAAACTTCAGAGAATCAGATCATGATTTAAGACTAAACAGATGTGAACTCATTCCTAAACACACCTATGGCAACTGCATCAACTCAAGCTCACAGTGTTAAACATGTCTGATCTGTAAAATCCCCATTTTTCCTCCATTATCGTTCAAAAACGATGAAGAATGATGGTTTTTATTTTGCCTGACAAAGCTGTTCCGCTATGGACAGCTTGTGTAGTCTCAATGTAATCGAATACGCTGGAGCTTTCCAGTTGGCTGTAGAGCACAAAGGCAGCCTTCTGGTGTTCCTGCAGAGTCCCAGAGAAATACGGCGCGAATGCTGGATCCTCGTACATCCTCCGGGCCAAACTCTTGTTGTCTCTGTCCACATTCTGCAAACCTACAAAAAAAAAAAAAACATAAAAGACACACGCATTGGAACATTGTGTAACATTTGGTCATAGTTTCAAGCAGATCAGTAAATAATTTTAGAGTCCATAGCGATCTGGGCCACAACGTTAAACTGTAGTTTATTTGTCCAAATATTTATCAGTGATGATTTAATATGTATGGCTTACTGGCAGTTAGTGGCACTAATATGTATGAACTTTTCTCTTTTGCTGCCATTAACTCTATTCTCCTGCTTTTTCTATTTTTCTTTCAGTAGTAAGTAGTCTTGGCGCTTCCGATATGAAGCCATTGACAGATCTATTGCTGCCATAAACGGTGTACGTTGTTTTATTTTTCATGGAGCGTAACCCCGGCCCAGTGTGTGATGTGCAGTTTACAGATCAGTTGGTTTCCTTCAAAAACAAGTATTAATTAAACAAAGCTTAAACTTATTTCCTGATAATTGCATCAAATTAAAGTTTTAACAGTTCAACTGAATGAAGCGTCGGCTGTTTGTTTGTGACGTGCCAGATGGAACCGGTTTTTGATCCTGCTGTTAGTGGACTGGACTCCTGTTCCTGCTGAACTGAGCCAGTGGTTCTATAGGACTGATTATCAGCTCAGTAGGCACAGGAATCCCAGCCCAAATGTCTTTCTCATCCAAAGTTGGCTGTGAACAGATTATTTTGTACTTTGTCTTCAATGACACCAATGCAAACCTACCAGAAACCCGATTCACCTGACTGTTCAATTTCTGTAGCCGTCAGCATAGTCGGAAGCTCTTGGCTGAATGGTCAGAGTGGTTCGAGAATACTGATGCAAAGCTGGCACAGAAAGAACACTGCTGTTATACCTCTGACTCTCCAAGCAAAGATAGTTTTTCACCTGCCTATCAGCCGACTTGTATAAGGGCAAGCCAGCTCTACCTGAGTTAGTGCTGACAAATGTTTTGAGCAACCAGACCGCCGCAGGGTTGAAAAGCATGAGCATTTGAAGTATTTACTCAGGCAAAAACAATATTGCTAAGCTGAGTTAATCCGACATTATTGTACTGAAAGAAATGGCATGGAGAGATGTCTGACGCAGATTTTATACCATTCGCTAATGACGACACCGCACCACAACTGCCGTTATCCTGCATCTTCCGCTTAAGGTATATAAATGGTGAGAACTAGCTTAGAAGTGGTTCATCCAGGCAAATTTATGACACAAATGTTTTGTGAAAGAGACCACTGTCCTGACAGAAGGTGAACCTTCACTGCAATGTCAACTTTTCTTCCAGGACTGGCCTGTACCAGATCTGTCTGCCATGTTCCTTGTTCTTCCTGGTGCCTCTAAGGCCTTTACAGCTGAATTTATGCTGACTTGAAACTACACACTCTACTACCAGCCAGGTGTTATCTGAAGTCAGCTGGTTGCACTCGCTTTTATTAAGGGACACCAGAGTAAAGAGGCAAAACAATAATCAGGTTTCCTTCCACTTTGTAAATTCTCACCACTTTGTATCAATCCGTCACATAAAATTCACACAGAGTTGTGGTTGTGTTGTGATGTGAATATCTGTGTGACGCCGTGTAAAATGCAAAATGGTCACATCTCATCACCTTCTCTGATGCCCACACACTGCCTCATTTCAGACTAAAGAATTTTCCAATGCGCTCTTTGAAATGCAATCCAATGCATTTCAGCTTTTTGAAATGCACTTGACATAAAAGAGACAATCAGTTTAAACACACATGAGGGGAAGATGTGGGCTTTTTGTGGGGCAAATCAGTTTATTTTCGGAAGCTTTATACAGCGTTGCTTGATCCTTTGATGTGCAGAGAACCATTTCCCTTCCCATTAGAGAGTAATAAATCACCCTTTAGATTCAGGCTCTGATGGTAATTCCTCTTTTTTTCTTTCTTTTTTTATAGGTCTTTGATGGTCATTACTCTTTTAACAGGCCCTAAATATAGGTCTAAAAATGGCAAGCTCCACATGGCCCTCATTGCTAATTCACACATCTGTCCTCGTTTAGTCGTCATTTTGTCGTCGCCAATGTAGAGCGCTGTAATACCTCCTCACTCCATATATATTCTAGCAGAAGATGTAAAAAAGGAACCAAGACTGACCAGTTTGAAATTCATTTTCAGCCATCTGTCACGGACGGCTTAGATCAAGGAGCAGAGTGATCTAGAAATGCATCACAATTAGCCTATTACACATCAGACTCTTCGCAGACTGCACACACACACACACGATGCAGCTGAAGTTAATGCTTTAAGTTGGAATTTTGCACTCTTTAGCAAACATCCCAGCTTCAGATATCAACAGATTGGCTGTCAGAAGATTAGCTGGAAGGAGATTTATTTTTCTTCTTTTTTTTTTTTTTTTTTTTGATTAGTTAGAACATGCAAATATTGCGCAGCTAGTAATGTGACTAATTTCATGGTGATTCCCTTTTGACCTCAATATGTGGAGACAGTTATTGATCAATGGGTTTGCTAAAGAAACAAGCACCTTCTTGCACAGCACCTTTATGTTTTTATCTATTTTTTCCGCTAATCTGGGAGTCTTCTCTCAGTAGGATCTCCAAACGAAGCATGTCGCATGACCAAGCTACAAATTCCAGCGGGTGCTTTACAACGTCTCAGAGTCCGAGACTAAACAAAAGACGCTTACGTAATGCAAATTAAATCTACTGTATAAAAACACTTAATGGACCCAATAAAGTTAGAATGACATCTAACCCGCTGAAGAACCTTGAAAATGTTATCAGGAGATTCATCTTTGAGGTCTTGGCCTTGTTTTCCCTCTCTGAGTGGGAATGTGTGAGAACTTGCCTCTCTGTATCTGGGCTGCCTCAGGCTCAGATTAGATCAGAAATCAATGCACATCAGCCAGGGACGCCTCAGCAGCACTTTTCACCACCACTTTTCACCACCAACGTCATTTTAAGCCTAAACCTCCAGATTCTTTAAGGAACAAAAATATTTTTTTTATTGTTTTTTTTTTTTGGGGGGGGGGGGGGGGGGGGGGGTTAAAGTGGTTTAAATGTCTTAATCAGGTTTGTTTTTAAATATTACATCTGTTTCCCAGTTTGAGTGCAAAGTCGAATAACTGTTTGCATTTTTTTCTGTGAGGATGTGAGTAAGTTGACTTGGCCAACATTAAAGACTCAAACCTTAAATCTTGGAACAGTAAGGCAGTAAAAATGAACTGCAACAAGCCAAGAAAGAGCTTCACACAAAGTTTCCCCAGTAAATTCAGAAAGTTGTAGTTCAGCCTTCAGTTTTTGCAATACAGCTATGAAGTAAGAGGCCTGAGAGATATTGAATAGTACATTTTAAATATTTTTGCCAAGATTTGGTGCATATTTGAGGGAGAAAACTAATTTCTCAAAAAAGACAGTCAGTGTTTCTTTCCCCTAATAGATAACAAGCTTAGCATTTAGAGTTCTCATTAAAAGCATACATGCACACATTTGCATGAATAAATGTATTTTGGGCTTTTGATGATTTATTTGGACCACATTTTTGGTAATAATGAAAAAATGTAATGCTATACATAATAAATTTGAAAAACAGTGACTGAGTGGACAATTTTGAATTTAGTGTAGATTTTTTTTCCGAATAAATTGAGTCGAAATTATACATACAGGAGAAAAAAAAGTTAATAAAAATATATTTACATACAGACTTGTATATCTGCAAATAGAATAAATTTAGCTTAGCAAGTTGCAAAAAAAAAAATAAAACATTTTGTGTTGACCATACTTTTTAAATTCCAAAAGAAGTTTTGATGTGTGTTATGGATCATAGTTCTCTTAGAACACCCTAATGTTTACTTTGTTGTTGATTGTGAAGTTAAACAATATGGGAGTTTGGAGCTCCACCTATTTTGTGCAAAACAAACCCATGGGATAAATTGGGGGCATGTCCTTCAAGAAAAGGTGATTTAGCTGAAAAAATGTCGTGAAAGTCTCTTATAGCAATTTATCTATCTGAATATCCATCCATGGATGGATGGATGAACCTTTTTGCACTTTGAAAACCATGTCATTTCCTCTTCCTTCACAGTTATGCTGCGCTTTGCATTAATCTATACTATAAATGTATATTATTTTGTACAATGCTGTGATTAATCTCTTTAAAATGTGGGATAACAGCTTTGCTTTTATGTAATTGCATTTTACATCCCATTTGTTGCATTTTTATTAATATTCAATTTAAAATATATTTTTTTATTGAATCTTGCATATAGTTTTGATGGTATGGGCACTGACAGAATGAATAAGAAATAAGATACAAGGTATATAATAAAGCATATAAAATAAAATAACCCCTCATCTAGGCCAAAGTTGTGTTATTGCTGCGGCCAACCAAAGATCTGTCCTTATATTACGACAGGTTACTACAAGTTTCAGCTGCAGTAAATATTGAATTTTTTATAGTGTTATAAAGAGATTAACCCCATCATTATCCTAACGTTATACCCTGAGGTTTGTGGTTGCAACTTTACAAAATGTAAAAAGAGGGAAAAAAAAGTATTATTCATATTCTGCAAGGCACTGTAACTTGAGTTTAACTATATTGCATCAGTGGGAAGCACTGCTATATTTTGCTGGCAGGTCTAACTTTGACTGACAGAATGCCTTGAAAAGAGACTGTCGTGCAGAATAAGAACTATGATGACGAGTCAGATTGTGGTCGCTGCCTTGTATTTGATTAAATCTATGTCAGCGTCGGTAAGCAGAGTCAGGGTCTCAGTAGGCCTCATTAGTACACAGCAAGTAGACCCACCAAGGTGCTTGGCTCTCCACCTTTGCCAGGATTACAGAGCCCGATAAAGGCATCATGTGCAGAATCATCCTGGATATATGGATCAAAGCGGAGGCGGAGATGTGTGTGGGGAGGTTTTACATGCAGGCTCTGGAAAACGATGACTGGGATAAGAGCTCGAAAGAAAGAGGTGAAAAACGATCCAGAAACGGCAAAGAAGCGGAATATAAAGAGATTCTGGGACTTTGAAGAGGCTGAAAAATACGGCTCCACTGTCTCTACACACATTTCTTTTCTTCCCATTGTCTCCCTGTCTGGGTCAAGCTCTCCTCAGGTGCAGAACTTAGCCACTGTGAACAAAGAGGAAATCAATCACTGTTCACCAATCAGCTAAGCTCTGTATCTGGCTGGAGAGAGGCTTCAGAAGCTGGCCCAGGTGATTGACGTGTGGTCAAACCATCGTGCTGATGAGTCCCCCTCATCGTCGTCATTTCAAATCACCGTCTCCTCAAACGTAATCATGCAAACCCTTAAATAATCAGACCTTCTAGAGTTCTGGTTTCTTCAGTGTGTAAGTGCGTGAAGATGTTTGTGCACTGGAGGAGATCTGGTTGCCAGAGCAGCCGGCGGGGTCAGGACTGTGTGGTAATCCCTGGCAATGTGATTTTATCATAAGCCACAAATCAGCACGCCAGGAACCCTCACAGCCCAGACATGAAAGAACAAGATCTCCTCTCTGTCTCTCATTTCCCTCCCTCTCTCTCTCTCTCTACCTGCTGAATGAGACTCCAGTTCACTGCTAACACCCTGAAAGCAAAAACTTTCTCTGCTCTGGCCTCCTGTTTTTCTCCCCTCACGTCTGCCATAAGAACTCAGCCGTGAAAGACCACAACTGCAGACCATTCACTGCCTTACTCTCACCCGCTATTTCCTTGGTTACCCTTCTTCTCGTCTCCTATTCGCCACGCTTGGCTGACCTGGCGATATGCCCCTCATTAAGCGGATCAAGAGGGATTCCAAAGGCATGTACTGGGGGGAGGAAAATTACAAGACAGCGAGCAGGGAAGGATGGAAAAACGAAAAAAAAAGGTACAGAAAGACCACCCTAATACTCTAAAGAGTTGTGCTTTTCAGGAGAGAGCACGCCTTCATAGACATGTTGTTTTCAGTTAAAACCCACTCAGCCTGCCTCAGCAAAATCAACATAATCCACTGTGATTGAGACTGAATTGTTTGGGGCAAAGGGTACAGGGAGGACTGTTCAAGTTAGGGTTCCTACACATTTTCTATGTCAATATCTAACGGTTTACCAGTTCAGTCTTCTTAAAATATCAAATACTACAATGAAATTATATTTCTGCAGTGGGCATAATGAGGGCTGCAAAAAAAAAAAAAAAAAAAAAAAAGGGGCAATGAAAGTAAGAAAACATGGCCATGAAGGGCTTGAGCAAGGAAGGGAGAGAAAGCAGAAGGAAAAAAGAAAGAGACGGTATGCAATAAATGACATGAAGGAAGGAAAAACAGAATGACAAAAACAAGAAAAGGAGGTAGGAAGAAGTAAAAGAAGAAAGTAAGAAGAGAATGATACATAGGACAGAAGGAAGTAAGGAACAAAGCAAGGAATGGAAACTGGGAACAAAGACATAAGAAAAGAGGTATAAATGAAGGGACAGAAGAAGATAGGAAAACATGAGGACCTAAATAAGTAAGGGAGGATGAAAGTAAAGAAAGAAGAGCATAAGGAAGGAAGGTGGTTACAAGAAACAAGGAGCACAATGACATCTAGGAGCAAAGAAATAAAGGACACAATAAATTGCTTGAAGACAGAATGACGACATGACAGCAAGCGAGGTAGGACCCAAGGAGGAAGGACAACATTCCATGATCCATTGGAACATGGAATAAAGTCTGGAAATGTCATATTTCTTAATACTCTGCCTTCCTTTTTCAGGCTTATTCAAACTTTGAGAATGCTGAAATCAAGTTCCAGACTGTGGAGGAACCCTGTCAAAAAAAAAAGACGATTTAGGAACACAAACTGAGTAGGGAAACATAAATCCACCTCCCTACAGAGAGATATGAAAAGGCAGCAAGGAGGTCTGTTCATCCATCATTTTAATTGGAGTGAGATCTCGGATGACCAGTGGGATCCACTGATGTTTATGGGGGCTTGCTTGGGTCGGTCCGAGGGGAAGCCATAGTAAAAGTTGGAGTATTAATCTCTAAATGCTTCTTCTGCTCTTTTGAGGTGACAGGAGGAGGAGGAATGGCAGAAGGATGTGGGAATGGTTGTGGCAGCGTGTCTGTCAGCGAGATTTATCAGGACAGAGCCGGATGCCAAACAATTGTAAAGAAATCCTTTCGCATCTAGAGCAAATGCAGGGGAAAAAAAAAAAACTATCTGAAGATAAAAGCCTGCCGTGGCAGCTCGACGAAGCGGATTCAGAGCTGCGAGATTTGATGCTGGACAAGTTTTTAGCAGCACCTTCTGGCAAAGTCTGAGCTAACCAAGGTCACGGATGCCTTCTCGAGTGTTATTAGGTGGAGGGAGGAGAAATAATAACACAGCTCCATTTGATCATTTGCTGTACCTGCTTATATTTTGGTGGGATTTTTTTTTTTTTTTTTTATGATCATG